TAAAGCTACAAATTTACAGTGCTTGGAGTAAACACACAGAATGATCAACTGTGTTAAAGGGATAGTTCACTAAAAAATGATCATTTACTTAATATTTACTCTGCGGTTGGAATTGTTTAGGAATTTCTTAACATAAAACAAGATATACTGAAGTATTTTGGAAAAAGGCATTCAGTAGTAGAAACAAAATTACTATTGAAGTCAATGGCTGTTTTCAAGCATTCTTTAACATATTTGTGTTCAAACAGAGGAAAGAAAATCAAACAGGTTTGAAAAAAATCGAGGAGCCGTGAAGGATGATAGAATTTTCATTTTTGGGTGAACTGTCCCTTTAAGTGTTCAGATTAGGGTTATTTTGCAGGACAGCCATGCTCTGTTTGTATCAGCCATGCAGAATGCAGATTTTCATGTTTCTGCTTTCTTAATTTAAAAGGACGTTTCGCATAAAAAAAAACTATAATCTGCCATCGTTTAATGCATTCACAATCATCTTGTTCCAAACCTTTGTTTAATGAAAGATTCATTGAATGATTCTGAATATAAATACACTACCTGACAGAAAATGTGTCACCTATCGAAGTTTTAGGAGCAACACATAATAACGTGACTTCTGGTTGATCATTTGGTATCAGAAGTGGCTTATATAAAAGGCAAAGGCCTCTAGATTACGCTTATTTTACCAAAATAAAATATGATCATGCCTTGAGTTTTAATGATTTAATTAGGACAGTAAGGTCTGACTTTGCCTTGACAAAAGTCTTGTCACTGAACAGAAATAATGTCCAGTTGTAATGGGGTGACTTGTCCCTGGCTGACAAACAGTGTTCAACATTCAAACATTATTCACTTACCAAAATTATCCAGAAAAGCATGAGGCGATTCGGGTCCACACGTCCGCCATCAGCACATTGGTTTTCACACACACACAAACGCATCCACAAACGCATTTCTTCATCGCCATCCATAACGCACGCTATAGTCACAAATACACGCATATACACATGTTGTCTGAGTGTTTAATGTTTTTGGTTTGTCCGCGTCTAAGCGTTTTCGGTTATTATTTGTTTAATTTTTACCGGTTGTTTGGCTTCCGTGTTTCTCCTTCATCTGTCTTCGTGGTTGCTCTTCCATCGGCCGGTCAAACAGAGCGCCTCCCAGGGCCTGGCTAAATAGTGCCGGGTTCACTGTGGATTGCTCCAGAGCAACCGGAAGCAGACTCGTTTATTGTCCTCTAGAGAAGGGGGGGAAATGGGTTTATACTTGTCTTTATGTGTTTAAATGTTCATGTTTATATGTTTATATCTTTATATCTTGATCTATTTTAGTTAACATTGATTAATTGTGACTGGTAGGGTTTAATGGTTTTTAAATACTAAACTGGAGAACATGTACTGATGTTTATACTTACCTTTTAATTAGGGTATGTTGGTCTTTGTTAAGGGGGTGGGGCTTCACCTTTAAAAGGCAGCCCCAAACAACAATTCGGGGTCAGTTCACCTTGCGAGCGAGCTATTATGGTGCTATTATGGTATTATGGTATATATATTTTTATTGTGATTGTACATATATCGTTTTGCTTGTTGTTTATTTGTTCTTTTATTTTTGTTTGTTTTGCTACTTTGCTGGGTTTTTGGGTTTCACTCTCGTACACTGTAAATAAACCATCACTTTACACGTTATATCAGCGAGTTGTGCCATCATTTTGAGGTTTTCTCATTTTTTTTTTATATCCTTTGAGAACCCACTACAAGCCTTCCTGGCTCGTAAACCTCACACCAGTATAGAATATAAAGTCATGCTGCAGTGGAGAAAGAATGAATATTGTGTTTGACTCCATCATGAGCTTGGAGGACTGCATCCATACATCTCTGCAATGACTCAAATAACTTATTAATAGTCATCTGGAATGGCAAAGAAAGCGTTCTTGCAGGACTTCCAGAGTTCATCAAGACTCATCTTCAATGCCTCCACCTTCATCTTCTTCACCCGAGACATGCTCAATAATGTTCATAGCTGGTGAATGAGCTGGCCAATCCTGGAGCACCTTGACCTTCTTTGCTTCCAGGAACTTTGATGTGGAGGCTGAAGTATCCTGCTGAAGAATTGTCCCTCTCCTGTGGTTTGTAATGTAATGGGCAGCACAAATGTCTTGATAACTCAGGCTGTTGATGTTGCCATCCACTCTGCAGATCTCTCACATGCCCCATACTGAATGTAACCCCCAAACCATGATTTTTTCTTCACCAAACTTGACTGATTTCTTTGAGAATCTTGGGTCTATGTGGGTTTCAATAGGTTTTCTGCAGTATTTGTGATGATTGGGATGCAGCTCAACAGATGATTCATCAGAAAAATCTTTTTTTTTTCTTAGAGGTTTGAGAAGCAATAAACAGTTTTTAATAAAAAACAAATTAAATTCCATTTTTAACAATATGACAAAAATATTCACAAAGCACAAAATTTTTCCCCCCAGATCATTAGATATTTATTTTATAGACGCTTTTATCCAAAGTGACTTACAAATGATTGAAAGGAGATAGTTAAGCCAGGGCTCAACAATAAGGACTGCCCGATGGCCCGGGGCCAGTGTGAGAGATGCTCGTGACAGTAGACAGAATCGTTACTGGCCCGATCGGGGCAGTGCTGCCTTGTCACTAAATTTTATTAGACGGCAACATGACCGCAACATCAAATTATGAGGCTAAAGGAAATGTCTGTTTCTAACTTTGTGGATACATTTAAATGGGTACAGCATGACGAAAAAAATGAAGGTCGTGTATTGCTTAGTTTGCCGTCACTTTTAAGTCAGCCACCTTTTGTTTTGCAATAAAATACCTGCACGTTTTCCATACTGCTATATTTTACTGCTAAATATTTTAACATTTTTCAAATATTAAAATTCTACAATTACTGGCATTACTTTCATTCATTCATTTTCTTTTCGGTTTTGTCCCTTTATTAATCTGGGGTCGCCACAGTGGAATGAACCGCCTGACATTATTTCGTGACACATTATTTAATATATGTGGCTAACTTTTTTATTTCTTTTATGGGGCCAGTGAAAATTTTAGCAGGGCAAGTAAAAATCTGAACCACTGGTCCAATCGGGCCAGTAGAAAAAATCCTTAGCGTTTAACCCTGTAAGCGTCTGCTCATCAAGCCAGGCCTTTAAATTTTCTGCCCCTACAGGATTAAAAAGTTTATAAACTGATATCCAAATGGGTCATTTCAGCTTTTAGACAAGGTGTAGCAAACCACAGTCAGCTCTGAGAAAAGCAACACCGCTTAAACAGCAATTAAACACATGAGTGGACAAGATTAAAGCTCTGTATAGACATGTTTTAGACTAATGCAGCCAGGATAAAGCATTTGTCAAATGAAGCAAGCATGATAAATCAGTGCTAAGCGATGTTGGGTCTACTACTAAAAGGCCAGCTTATGCAAACCTGTGTGCTGTGCAGGCAGGAAGGCGAAGAGTGTTTAGAGAGTGTTTTTCTGATGGAGCAGCCGCTGGTCACCATGCATCAGTTAACAACTTTTAGGACATTTCATGTGCAAACATTTGCGGTTACAGGCAAGGGGCTTTAAAGGAACATCTTGTTCTTGTGAGCAGTATATTTAGAAAAAAAGAAAGTTTCAGAAAGTCGCTAGTTAAATTACGTTGCATTATAGGATTTGGCAGCATTGCATTTTTCCCTTTTGAAAAACAAAATGATGCTTTGTTTTAGTCGTTGTGTTTGGAAAATGAACGATTGTTTCCAGTTGGCCTGAGATTAAATATCTAACCACTGACTGGAATAAAAGCCCTCTTTAACTATAATGAAGTTGATTATTTATATATTAGTTTCATATAATCTTTTATATAATAGTCATCTTGAGGCAAGATAAATGGTAATATGTTTGCTTCTTTAGTTTTCCAGTGTGGTAATCAAGATTTAAAAACTCAAATTTATTAGATTAAAGGTGCCATAAAATGGCAATCTGGATACACCTAGTAGGCATAGCTGAAAAAAAAAAAAACAAGTTCAGTTCATAGCATACCATGGCATGACCCTCAAATACTATGCTTTCATTGTTTTCATGTAAATCCTCTGTGTCAAATTCTGGTGACAAATAGCCCGATTAGAACAAAATACAGACTGACAATCTACACTGAATCATTAATATGCACACCCCAGGCAGCGTTTGATTGGCCACAGCATTTCCTAGTAAGATTACCACAATGATGTTTTTCCCCTTGCTTTCAAGTTTATCTTAATTTGTATTATACTTGCTTTGTATGTTGGACTCTTTTTTTTAAAAGCATGACCCAATTTCAAAAAAAGAGTAAGCAGTTGGATTCGATTCTATATCTATAGCAACAATTATTGCGGTTGTTGGTAACGCACATAATGTTACATGTTCATCTCAGCATGATTGTACATTCTTTATAATTCTTGTGTTTGTATTGCATCTTGGTAAAGGAGCTTTCCAGTTGCCATCATAATTACTGACTGAGTGCATTTATTCACTCTACCTCTGTTATGCTGTGTTCACACCAGACGCGGAACGCGCGGATAAATCCTGAACATTTGAGTTTACTCGCTTCATTTGCGCGTCAAACCCCGCTTAATTCACATGTCAAATTCACTAGAACAGACGCGGATTCACGTGATGGGCAGGGCTTCTGTCTGCCCGAAGACTCTAGCTTCATAGCTAAATGGCTAACATGGATTTTATGAAGAAAATAACAGTGTTCATGTGCTTTATGAAGACTAAATAACAGCGTCGATACGTTTAGGGTAGTGTCTGAGTCCACTACATGCTTTCAGAGGTGCATCCAGCTCTGTGAGCTCATAAACTGCTCCAGAAACTTAACCTGGATGACGGAGGCTTTCAGCGATGCTTCTGACTGAGCCATGTTGTCGGTGAAGGCTGGAGGATTTCCCTCGGAACACCGACAACTGGTTCTACATCACAATCACGCCCCTACAAGAGCAAGCTTCTGATTGGTTAACGCGAAATCAAGAGATTCGCGCGAAACGCTCGTTTAGCGTGTCAAACGCGCAAAACGCTCAATTCGCCCTGCGCCATTCGCGCAAATTGCGTCATTCGCGCCGCGCCATTCGTGCGTATCGCGCCGCAGGATGTCTTTTTTGTGCATTTGCATTGACTTAACATGTAAATCACTCGCGCTTGACGCACGTGTCGTGTCTGGTGTGAACGCAGCATTATGCTGTTATGTCTTCTAATAAATTATATAAAAGTCTCTTGCATTATAATAATATAGTATAATGAGCAAAATTCAAGTTTTTATGCAAACAAAAGAGCAGTATGGAAAGTGTGCTGGAATTTTATTGCAATTCTAAATTATTTTCATAAAAATGGTTTGCCAAACTGACGACAACTTTTTCCTTTTTTTTTTTCTTATCCAGTTTCTTAATTTTGTACACATGTAATTGGATGCTTCCAATACTTTAGAAAGAGACGTTTTCTTTTACCCTCATAGTTTGATGTTGCCGACATGTTACCATCTTTTCGCTGTACTTGTGACCAGGTTCCGAAAAAAAAAATAACGCGCTCATCGTTACTGGCCGATAGGGGCCAGTAGCAACCCTGTCTACTGTCCCGAGTGTCTTTCACACTGGTCCCGGGCCACCAGGCAGTCCTTATTGTTTAGCCCTGCACTCTAAAGAGGCATGGGGTGTTTTTGTTAGTTTAATGTGTATATTGTGAATTTTAATAAGGCAACATACACTGAATAAACTGCTGAATAAAAGTCTTTTTTTTTTTTGCATGTTCATACATTTGTTAGAATATTTTGAGACCAATGAAGTGCTGCTGGAGCATCAGAGCAGAGCTCATTATTATTCACAACCTTTGCAAGTATGGTCAAAATCAATTATATCATATTATCGCCAATAAGTCCATTTGTTGGACCTCTGTCATGCCGTTAAAAGTCTTCAAATAAATTTTATAAAAGTCTTTGTATTATATGATTAGTATTTGTTAGCTGAAATGCTAGTGATTTTTTTTTTTTCACTCCGAACGCAAAATGCAGGATATATGGATTATAAATTTATTTCATACAACTCCAAAGAGGCATGAGGTGTTTTTGAAGGTGTCTTTTGGTAGTTTATTGTGTATATTGTGAAATATGCTGCATATGTTTGTAATGACAATACAAACACTGAATAGTAGACCCCTGAATATGTGTTTTTTTGGATGTTTATACATTTGTTGAAATATTTTGAGACATCTGAAGTGCTGCTCGAGCAACAGATCAGCTCGTTAATATTCACGACCACTCCAAATTTGATCAAAACCAAGCATATTATATTATAGCCAATTGCTAGATTGGAAATAAACCTGTAAAGTCTTTTTTCTAAGCAACATTTCTTGTATTTAGATAGAGAACAGGTAAACGTATAGTATTAATTTAATTTTATGCCACCTTAATCTAATATGAGTTGGTCTTTTGCCTGTTTGGACTAGCAAATGAACAACTTCCTTGCCGCTAAAGTGGTTTTCTATTCCCAACTGGTTAAACAAGTCTGGTGGAGATGATATTAATCAGATCATTACATGTTATTGTACACACTGTGCAATGTGTGCCTTAAATAGTTTTACTTTATCTGGCTTGCTGCTAGGTCTCCCTTACTGACCAAAGTGACCAGTGTGTTTACATCAGGAGGGAAGAGCTATTCTCACATGTGTCCTGTTGTGTTTTCAGGGCCATTTATTTTGCCGCCTATTCCAGTGCAAAGGAGAAACTGAACTGTGTGTTTGAACCAGACTCCACAGGCTTGCACATGGCGTCTGCTGGGATTGCAGGTAACTTAATTTATATACATGCATATAAAGGAAAACATTTTGGGACCAGTAAGATTTTGTGTGTTTTTAGATTAATTAAATGGTGATTGTTTATTTGATTTACATATAAAATAACTGTAAAATTGTAAAATATTACTTTAATATATAAATAAAAAATATTACAGAATTTAGTTTAAAATGCAATTTTATTTGTTTGATTTGAAGCAGAATTTTTCTGCATTATTAGTCTGATTTTTAGAATTAAGTCATGATTGTTTTAGTAATGATTCTTATAAATGTTCATAGTTTTTCACAATTATCTTTTTCAAAACCTTCTGCTGCTTCATAGACAAATGTGATGTATTTTGCTTTTATGATTTTTGGATGAAAATAATTTTAATTTTATTTTTTAATAATAACAAAAAAAGTTTTTCATTAAAAATGTCATTATTTTTCCCCGTGACCAAGTTAACCTGTTATTGATCAGTAAAATGTAAACGCATGTAAAGTTTAATATACATATTATGATTTCTAAAGGATCATGACACTGAAGGCTATGGTGATGATGCTAAATATTTGCTTCAAATCACAGGATTAAACTATGTTTTAAGCTACATTCAATTAAAAAACACTTATTTTAAAATGCATTAATATGTCATGTATTTTTAATTTTAAAAATTGTAAAAAAAAAAAAACAGAATATACTACTTTTAAAATATGTTAAGTGTACAGTAGTAATGTATGTGAACATGCAATCCCACTGTATCCTGTTTTGCCTGCTCTGATGGGCTTAAAGTAAATGAAATGTCACAAACACTCAGTAAATGCTCAGCCAGACGGGTGGGTGGGTGTCTTTGGTGTCTTCTCACCTGTGATCTGGAATTTTGCCAAGAAGGATTCAGTGTACTGAACATATGCTGCAGTTTGACTGACAGCTAGTAATTGAAACCTGAGTCACGTGGGGAGCCACATTGTGCATTTTCAGTTGAAAACTTGAGCTACGTTAAACATCACATTCAGTGCTGTAAACATGTCAACTGTGCTGTCATTGTACAAGCAAAACAAATGACCTGCTTGTGCAAAGTAGTAAAAAAACAGATTGCGGGTTTGAATTGTTAATTAGGATTTTTATTGAAAATTGTCAAATTTATATATAAGTTTAATTTCAAGCCTGTCAAACTGTTTTATCACAATTAATAATAATCATTTTAGTCAAAAGGCCTTTTATGATTACTGTACATCAGGGGTGTCAAACTCAATTTCTGGAGGGCCGCAGCCCTGCACAGTTTAGTTCCAACCCTGCTCCAACACACTTACCTGTAGGTTTCAAACAAGCCTGAAGGACTCAATTAGTTTGATCAGGTGTGTTTAATTAGGGTTGGAACTAAACTGTGCAGAGCTGCGGCCCTTTTGGAACTGAGTTTGACACCTGTGCTGTACATGCTTGCTGTCTACAGTAATTATGTTATTTCAGTTTCAGTTTCCTTTATTTTGTCATTCAAAACATCACAATAAAATTGTAATGCAGAACGAAATTACGTTGCAACAGACCCAACAAGAACATAAAAAAAACATCACTATGTTTATCCTAACATGATAAACAAGCTTTTATAATTTCATAAAAATATAAAAGTACAGATATCCGCTTGTTAAGTGTGACGTCACGCGAAGCGGCTTCCGGGTCCAAGCGATCTATTCAAATGAATGGGGAGACTCGTGAAATGGTAATAATAAACATTTACAAAGCGTTTTAATACGTTCGAAAATCACGATCACAATATACAGTTGAAGTCAGAATTATTAGCCCCCCTAAATTATTAGTGCCCCTGTTTATTTTTTTCCCCCAATTTCTGTTTAATGGAGGGAAGAATGTTTCAGCACATTTCTAATCATAATAGTTTTAAAAACCTATATCTAACAACAGATTTATTTTCTCTTTATCATGATGACCGTAAATAATATTTTACTGATTTGATATTTTTCAAGATACTTCTATACAGCTTAGTAACATTTAAAGGCTTAACTTGGTTAATAAGGTTAACTAGGCAGGTTAGGGTAATTAGGCAAGTTATTGTATTACAGTAATTTGTTCTGTAGATTATCGAAAAAAAATTAGCTTAAAGGGGCTAATAATTTTGTCCCAAAAATGTTTTTTTTTTTTTCAATTAATAACTGCTTTTATTCTTGCTTAAATAAAACAAAAGACTTTTTCCAGAAGAAAAAAATATTATCAGACATACTGTGAAAATTTCCTTGCTCTGTTAAACATCATTTGGGAAATATTTAATGTGTAATATGAATAAAAAGGGATCATAAACAAATATTTTCTCAACTCAAATGAGTGGCGACTTGGACCTGGAAACAGTATTACATACGTCACCAACATGTCACCACTTTACAAGCGGATATAAGATATAACCTATTTTAAAAATCTCTGAAGAGAATAACTTAATACTTAAATACCTATTGCATTTGTAATAATAGTTGTAATATTAAGAATTTATGCTAGTTTAACTATTTATTGATTTATTATTTTACACTAGCTATCAATAGGGTTTAAGAAATGGTATTATTCAAAAGTCTTATGATGTTTGTGCAATTAAATATAATAAGAAATATTGATGTTTTTAAGTCTCTTCTACTCACTACGGGTGCATTAAAATTACAATATCAATGCAAATTATCACAGTTTAAAGTATATTTTAAATTTCATTTACTCATGTTGTTCAAAGTTGAACATTTTAGTTAATGCAATGCACGATTTTCAGGATTACATGTTAAAAATAGCATTCATTTGTCTGGAAATCCTTTTTAATGATGAGAAATCAATCATTAAAAAAAGTGTATTGTTGGGTCGGTTTAATGCATGTTTTATTAATAGATCTATTCATTTATTTGGAAAAAAATTACATTTAAAAAAAAAAAAAGCTTTGTTTATGTAGTGCTTATGTTATCACTTTTTACGTTTATTAACAATAAAAAACAGCTTATACTCTGCAAAATGCTTTTCTTACTTTCGTCTTTTATCATTTCTAGTCTAAATGTCGAAAGGCTTCTGGATTTAAGAATTTTTAAACCAGTACAAAACATCGCCTTCATATTTTCAGAAATAATGAGTCAAAACTAAATGAGTTTTTGTTTAAAACAAGCAAAATAATCTAACAGTGGTGGAAAAAAAAAGTCTTGCTTCAAAGCAAAAACAAGATTGATTTTCTTACTCCATTGGCAGATTATTTTGCTGGTTTTCAGTGAAAAAGTCACTTAATTTTGACTCATTTTTAAAAAGAATTTTTAGAAAATTCTAAAAATAAATATTTTGTACTTGTCTAGAAAAGGCTTCTTCATTCTGACAAAATGCCAAGTAAGAAAAGCATTATTTGCAGTGTATCAGCAGGCCCGCAGCCAGCCTGGTGAAAAGGGTGGTTCTTTTTCTCAAAATGTGGACCTTTTTTTGCAGTTATTCACCTCATTTTCTATTTAATTATGATGTTTAAATACTCCAATAAGTGACATTTAAAGCACAATTTTTAGTTGGATTAGCTTGTTGTATCCTCCATTTTCGATGTACCTTTAAATGTAAATATTCCCTAAAGATTTATAATCAACAAATATAAAAAAGCTTCACAATTTTCTTCTAGCCTCTCTTGAACATTCATCCAACAACAACAGCCTAATTAGTATAAACAGAAAGTCAGTCTAAGGCACTCGAAAAATGTGGAAAAAATATTAAAAAGCCTTTACTGACATGGCTATTTCTTTAAACTGTGCCTACACGTTTTGATAACATTTGACTTCATCAGGGTAACCAATGCTTTTTATTATTTTTTTGAACTGATTTTGATGTTTATTCTGATGAATTCCTTACACAAAAAGCACCGACACATTATTTAGGCTACCCCTGAAAACTTTTAAATTGATTTTGGATTTTTATACACAGCCTAATTAGTATTAAATAAAACTTTAATAGGCTGCTTTTGGTGCTTCAGACTTTTTTATTGTTTTTTTTTTTCTCTCTCAAGAATAAGGTTCAAGATTTAAAATAAAAGTTAGGCTACTTGTAAAATTTTTTATTATTTTTTTTAACAACAGTCGGTCAATATAATAAACTATGCATTTTCTTAAAACCTTTATTGTGTTACTTCTACAATTTATGATGACACAGCAGTCAAAATAGGTCAAATAGAATATAGTGGCAAAAATTCTGGTCTAATGGCAAATTCTGTACCTTTGTCAGTGGGGGGTAGTTCTTTCAACCTCTTAATAATTAGAAATATTTCTTGAATTTGAATTTAAAGCTGATAATTTAACTTTAAACCAGAGCAAAAAGCTAGAAAAAGCTTCTTTTATTAAGAATATTTCGATATTTATACTAGAACAAAAACTCCAAGAAAACCATTTTTGTAGTACAGTGCAAATATCCATATGTGTGTGACTGTTTTAATCTCATTCTCTTCTCCTCCGATCAGGATTTACAGCCATAACAGCAACCAACCCGATTTGGTTGATAAAGACGCGTCTGCAATTGGATGCCAGGTATAGTAAATACCAACAAATATTCTCCCTGATTCCCCTAATAACTGATCCTGAGTCAGCCATGATTACGTTTACATGGACATCAGTAATCAAATTATTTGTCTTAATCTGAATAAGACAATAATATGATGAGTTGCTTTGTGAATGTTCCTTTCAATTTATTTCACCTTTATTTGTATAGCGCTTTTACAATGTAGATTGTGTCAAAGCAGCTTCACATAGAAGATTATAGTAAATTCAGTTTTCAGAGTTTAAGTTCCATTTAGTTCAGTTCAGTGTGGTTTAATTTTCACTGCTGAAAGTGCAAACACTGAAGTGCAAATCCATTCATGCGCAGCTCCACAAGTTCAAACCATGAAAGGCAGTCGCGAGTAAAAAAACTTCTCAAATTGGTGAAAGTGAAAGATAAAAACCTCGAGAGAAACCAGCCTCAGTTGAGCACGACCGTTTATAGCTCATAATTCGATTAACGTCGTTACATAACAACACTATCCACGTTTCCTCTGGACTTTCATGTAATTTCAGGTGTTTCATTTTTAATTTGTCGATTTTAACTGCAGTTTGGCACTTTCACTTTCATTCAGGAGCATTTCATGTCTTAATTCAATTTCTGTTTAGTTCGTGTTTGACTTTAGTCAGATTAAGGTAATCAAAAATTGCTGTTTACATGGTAGACTCTTAATTATGTCTGAATCGTATTAAAATTATTTGGGGTGTCAAAATGTATTGTTTCTTCAGTGCACCGCGATTCATATGCGTTCAATTTGGTATCGGTTCAGTAATAATCATAACCGGTTATTATGTACTGACATCATTTATCTCATATGCACAATAGCGAGGGAGGCGAGCATTTCCAACTCCTTAAATCTCAGAAACTGTGCACAATTTGACTGCGTGCATGTTTGCTGAATTAGTCTTTCACTTACATTTACAGCAGAAGCCCCTATTTCACTGCAATTTAGAATGAAAGTACTCCATTTCTCTCTCTCTCTCTCTCTCTCTCTCTCTCTCTCTCTCTCTCTCTCTCTCTCTCTCTCTTACACACACACACTCACTGTGGGCCCATTTGATCTGCTGGCATGACTTCTCTCGGCTGTTTTACAGCAATACTTCTGGATACAGACACGAGCGCGTGCCTGCAGAGTTTTCTCCACAGCGTCTATCATGGATAAGCTGATCGCTGCTGCCGGCTGGCGCTTATCAGTATCACTCATCTGTAAAAAGCGCAGCGCGCAAGAGCCAATCGCAGTCGTTTTTTTTTTTTTTTTTTTTTTTTTTAAGGTCTGACCAATCAAAGAGGTGTAAGAGAACTAGACAAGGATCAGAAAGCGAGCGGGATATTTATACTTGTTTATATTAATTGTTATATATGCTCATGTTGTTTAAAGGTACAGTTTATATATCTGACTGTTTGTATTGAATGACAAAATTGCAATACAAATAGTATATAAATATAAATATTTTCATACATTTTAATACAAGAATTCTGCTGTGAAGAAAATATAACACTGTGTATGAAAAGCACCGTCAATGCACCGAGATATCAAATTGAACTGAATCGATGGCATGAGAATCGTAACCGAACTGTGAGACCAGTGTAGGTTCACAGCTCTACTGATTATTAATGTCCATGTAAGAATACTCAGTGATACTTTTAACATGTCTTTCATGCTCATTATTCCTGACCTCAATCTAAATGTTGAATTCGATTTGTTTTGTTGCGCAGGAGCCGGGGGGAGCGCCGTATGAATGCTTTCGAGTGTGTGCGGCGTGTGTATCAAACTGATGGTGTCCGCGGGTTTTACCGTGGCATGTCGGCATCATATGCAGGCATCTCAGAGACTGTGATTCACTTTGTGATTTATGAAAGCATCAAACGGCGTCTTTCAGAGGCCAAAGCAGCGACGCACATGAACGAGGACGAGGACAGAGCCAAGAGCGCATCTGACTTTGTCGGCATGATGTTGGCAGCCGCTACATCGAAAACCTGCGCCACCTGCATAGCCTATCCACACGGTGAGCATTGAAAAAGGATGTTAACCACAGTAATTTACCTTCAGAATTGAGGTATTTTTTAATCACGAAGATGCACTAAAGACATGCGCTTGTAGTTGTTGTAATATTTGCTGTAATATTTGTACATTTGAGTCACAGTGGGTCAAAATTGCACTGAGAACATAGAAACATGTTTAGATTATAAATACAGAGCGAGATATTAATAAAGAGAAAATAGATATTAGTAAGTAAATAAGTTCGATGGCCAGCTAGACATCGGTAAGAAGGAGGCGGAGAACCGACAAACTTTTATATAATTTTTAATGAGCAAATAAGACAAACAGACAGCAGCTCCTCACAGAAACTGCCATCAAACTGAAAGTGAAAGTAAAGCTATGTCAGGGCCCAGTCGTCTCTCTTCCTGCACTGGCGTCTCTCCTCCTTTTAGCTTCCAGGTTTCCTCTGTGAGACTCGAATCAGGTAACGCATCCAGATTTAGTTTAGTTTAGTTTAGTTTATTTGTTTTCAGGGTCAATGCACATTAATAAACATTACTGTAAAATGTGTCAGAATTAGCCAAGAATGGCTATTTTTCATCCGTAGACCCTTTACAGAATGTTAAAAAGTCACACCTAAAATAGAAGCACAACATTAAACATTAAATACACTTTCATAAGAAATACAGTTAAAAAAGTAAAGAAAAGAAAAAAAGAAAAGAAAGAAAAAAAAAACAGACTGATGGGAGCAGAGGACAAAAAGCTAAAGACAACAGTACAAATGTGTCAAGAATACAGTACTAATGCTGACAATGCTGATTTGTCAATAACCAATTTCTAACATGAGACTGAAAAGAACGAAAAGTGCATGATCTTCTAATTGTTGGTGGGATGGAGTTCCATTCCCTAGCAGCTCTCACTGAAAATACAGATTGACTGAATTTGCTTTTTTTGAGAGGAATAATGCAGTCCCCTCTGTCACCTCCTCTAGTAGTTCGGTGAGCAGTCGTTCTAATATTTATAAACTGATTTAATGGTAAGGTCGGGTTATGTAAAGTCTTAAACATTAAACAGATATGTCCCTGATCAGGGCCGGAGTGGGACTCCTTTTCAGCCCTGGAGTTTCAAGCCTCAGACCGGCCCACCTCAGTTCACGACTGACTATATTAAAATAAGGTCATTTCCAAATCAGTTTCTCATGGCCCTATCACGTCTTTTTCAAGAAAACAGCTGCTTTAGAACTTCAAATGTTCAACAATCCTAACAGTTTTATATGTCTTAACAATAAAAATGAAAAAAAATTATAATAAATTACTCGTATGAGGTTGACGGTGTTGTAACGCAACGTGCTGACCACTGGACCACAACAGCTTTTCTCAGTGTAGTACCTCATCTGAGTTACATCAACATTAACCTGCAGGCTGCATCTTGCTCACGAGGCTGCGAGAAAATGGATAAAAAGAGCGGAGCTGCAAAATAATTAATAAAAAGAGTGAGGTTGTGGTCAAATAAATAAATAAATGAATGAAAAAGGTTTGACTACTGAGAGCAACAGAGTCTGGAGTTAGGGACACCGGCCCTCGCGGCCAAAAAACAGACCGGTATTATCTGTCCCTGATTATCTCACTCACAATTGAAAGTGACGTCACACAATCAAAAAAAAAAAAGAAGCTTAATATCCCAGACCCCAAACCAGCACAAACGTTCTTTCTGCGGCACAAATGTAGCACAAAGGAATAGCCGAGTTTTGGGAATTATTTGTTTTTTGGAGGTGCCAACTTCACGGAGGTCGTCTACCTTTCTTTTAGCTTCCAGGGCTCCTTCGTGAGACTTAAGGCAGGTGACGTGTCCAGGTGTCCCTGATTATCTCACTCACGGCAATTCAAGTGGCAATTAAAAGTGTTTTGCATTAACAATAAGAATAAAAAGGGACAAGTATAGGTATTTTGTTACCCATAAAGGAATAAAATAAAAGAGACAAGTATAAGAAAACTTAAAACAATTAATAAAAATGAATAAAAACAGATTAAATGTGTTAAAACAAGTTATAAAACAGTAAAAGAGAAGAGAAAAATATAATAGTGTGATCTGTCGGACGCAGCACAGTGCTCATTCAGTAAAGGCACAGCTAAACAGATGTGTTTTCAGTCTCGATTTAAATGTGCCTAATGTTGGAGCACATCTGATTATTTCTGGAAGCTGATTCCAGCAGCGAGGGGCGTAGTTGCAGAAAGCTGATTCACTCTGCGCTGAACTCTTGGATTTTCTAATTTACTTGATCCTAAAGATCTGAGGTATCTGTTGGGTTTGTATTCAGTGAGCATATCTGTAATGTATTGAGGCCCTAGGCCATTTAGTGATTTATAGACCAGTAATAATACTTTAAAATCTATTCTGAATGTAACTGGGAGCCAGTGTAGAGATCTGAGGACAGGTGTGATGTGCTTCGCTTTCCTGGTTCCGGTCAGAATCCTGACCGCAGCATTCTGGTTGAGCTGCAACTGTCTGACTGTCTTTTTGGTAAGGCCTGTAAGGAGGCATTACGTTACAGTAATCCACCCTGCTGCTGATAAAAGCATGAACAAGTTTCTCTACATCCTCACTGGAAACAAAGCATCTAATTCTTGCAATGTTTTTGAGATGATAGTATGCTGATTTACTAACTGCTTTGACATGACTGTTGAAACTCAGATCTCATCTTAAGCATTATTATGTTTTCAATTTGTCTACAGAGCAAACAATAATTGCATAATGACCTGCCTAAATACCCTAACTTGCCTAATTAACCTAGTTAAGTCTTTAAATGTCGCTTTAAGTGTCACAAAAATAGTCAGATATTATGTACTGTCATCATGGCAAAGATAAAAAAAATTAGGTATTAGAACTTAATTTAATTAGAAATTAAATGTGTTGAAAAAAATCTCTCCGTTAAACAGAAATTGAGGGAAAAATATACAGGGGGGCTAATAATTCTAACTTCAACTGTATTTGCATTTTATGTACATCACGTTGGTCAGCCCTAGCTGTTTTAAAAGTGCTCCACAAATTAAATAAACTAAACTAATCCTGTTTTTCTGTTTGGCTCTGCAGAGGTCATCCGTACACGTCTGAGAGAAGAAGGCACCAAATACCGCTCGTTCTTCCAGAGCCTCAACCTGGTGATCCAAGAGGAAAGCTATCGAGCTCTATACCGAGGACTCACCACACACCTGGTCAGACAGATCCCCAACACGGCTATCATGATGTGCACGTATGAGTTTGTAGTCTACCTGCTGGACGGCTGATCCTGGACCAAACCTTCGCAGTTTTAGTGTGTGTGGGAGGAAAATGTTTAAAGAAACGCTTAAAGACTAAAAATAAGTTGGCGCCAAGAAAGAAACGTCGTTATTTCTTACTTTTCCTTCCATTTTTTTGTCTGGGTAGAGATGAAATTCTAACAGCACTTCTAGAGCTGAATGTGGATTTATTTCTGTCAGAGAAGCAGTTGTTGTGTTGGCAGGTCATCGAGGGTTTTGTGATGACCATCAAAAGCTTCACAGGATTTGTCTCCAACTCTGAGATGGAGACAAACGGGAGACGATTTACACCGAGGCTCTGTTTTTATCTGGAAACGGTCGGTTTGGTTGCACTTACACCACGCAATATCAATGCAAAAACATCCTACATAGGTGCATGTCCACACATATATGCAAAAAGAGCGTGTTTTGACACTGTATGAAAGACTGTGTGTGTGTGTGTTAGTCTTTTATGTGTTTGTGTTTTGTTTTTGAATTTAGCTCACACTTATTGTTGACGCACAAAGAAATCATTAAACTACAGGGTGGGCCATTTATATGGATAAACCTTAATGAAATTGGGAATGGTTGGTGATATTAACGTCCTGTTTGCGGCACATTAGTATATGTAAGGGGGCAAACTTTTCAAGATGGGTGGTGACCATGGTGGCCATTTTGAAGTCGGCCATCTTGGATGCAACTTTTGTTTTTTTCAATAGGAAGAGGGTCATGTGACACATCAAACTTATTGGGAATTTCACGAGAAAAGCAATGGTGTGCTTGGTTTTAATGTAACTTTATTCCTTCATGAGTTATTTACAAGTTTCTGACCACTTATAAAATGTGTTTAATGTGCTGCCCATTGTGTTGGATTGTCTATGCAACCTACTTTTCCCACTCTTCACACACTGATAGCAACACCGCAGGAGAAATGCCAGCACAGACTATCAGTATGCGTAGTTTCAGGTGCTGCACATCTTGTATCTTCACACCATAGACAGCACAGATAGTGGGGCCATTCTTCATCAATGGAAACCTTAAGGCTGGATATTTGAAATTGCTACATGATGATGTGTTTCCCTCTATGCACTGAAGCTGGCACTTTCCCTGAGTTTTTCCAGCAAGATGGTGCACCAACACATTATAGGTGTCAGGTCCGAGCATTCCTAGATGAACTGAAAAGTGGATTGGTTATCGTGGGCCAGTTGAATGGTCTCACAGTCTGACCCCCTTAGACTTTTATCTTTGGCGTCATCTGAAGGCAATCGTCTATGGTGTGAAGATACAAGATGTGCAGCACCTAAAACTACGGATACTGAAAGCCTGTTCTGGCATTTCTCCTGTGGTGTTGCTGTCAGTGTCAGTGCAACTCTCTTCTCCTACTCATCACAGTCCAACACAATAGGCAGCACATTGAACACATTTTATAAGTGGTCAGAAACTTGTAAATAACTCATGAAATAATAAAGTTACGTTAAAACCAAGCACACCATTGCTTTTCCTGTGAAATTCCCTATAAGTTTGATGTGTCACATGACCCTCTTCCTATTGAAAAAAAATAAAAGTTGCATCCAAGATGGCCGACTTCAAAATGGCCACCATGGTCACCACCCATCTTGAAAAGTTTGCTCCCTCACATATACTAATGTGCCACAATCAGGACGTTAATATCACCAACCATTCCCATTTTATTAAGGTGTATCCATATAAATGGCCCACCCTGTAGTTTAATTGATGACAAAATTACTAATTAAAATGAAATAATTGAGAGTATTATACTAAAAAAGCCGTTGCAGTGTAACACAATTGTTTTGTGGACATGTTGTCGATCCAAGCAAACACTCAGAGCACAAAATATCTGTTCATTTAAGTAAATAACGGTGATTTGTGGTAGTTTGAGAGTTTAGCTGCTTTGCTAACTGGCTTAGGAAATACTTGCAGCAAAAATGCATACATGGATGTACTTTGAATGAGAACTTAAATGAGAAATATTTGGATATTTTCAGAGAATATGTCATGAATTTAAATTATCATCAGTATTATTAATATTATTATTATGAAGCTTTTATTACAAAATACTGATATTTAATAAAAAAAAAAAGAAAATACCAAAACAAAGAATAAAAATGAGCGTAATTCAGCATATATTTACTGGAAATGGCTTCATTTTGTATGGTTTCGTTCTCAATTTTAAGTGAATTGCTCTTGCTGTAAGGTGTTTAGACAAATACTCCAGCAAATATTTTTGCGGTGCAGACATATGAATATGCAGACATAATGTGAAACTGTTAATGTTGTCCAGTTGTCAAAGTTGATGTTTTCTGTTTCTCTCTCTCTCTCTTTCTCTCTCTCTTTCTCTCTCTCTCTCTCTCTCTCTCTCTCTCTCTCTCTCTCTGTCTGTCTGTCTGTCTCTCTTTCTCTCTCTCTCTTCATGCCTTTTCATTTGTTCAAGAGACCAGTGTGTAGTTCTTTCATCAGTGTAATTCTTCATTAATGTTTGGTTGTTTTGTTTACCGTCAGTTTGGTGTGAAGGGTGAATATGACTTTAATATTCATCAGGCGTATGGAAAAATAAATGCAAATAAGAAAACAATAACTTGTACATATTGTTATTCACATTGCTGCTGACTTCCAGTTTACCCAGCAGTGGATAGCGCTGCCGACTCATGACAAGAAAGTCGCTGGTTCGAGCTTCGGCTGGGTCAGTTGGCATTTCTGTGTGAAGTTTGCATGCTCTCCCTGTGTTGACGTGGGTTTCCTCCGAGTGCTCCGGTTTCCCGCACAGTCCAGACCTAAGCTAAATTGTTCGTAATGTACAGTTGAAGTCAGAATTACTTTGAATTTTTATTTCTTTATTTCTTATTACTTTTTTTAAATATTTCCTAAATGATGTGTAACAGAACAAGGAAATTTTCACAGCATGTCTGATAATATTTTTTCTTCTGGAGAAAGTCTTATTTGTTTTATTTCGGCTAGAATAAAAGCAGTTTTGAATTTTTAAACACCATTTTAAGGTCAAAATTATTACCCCATTTAAGCTCTATATTTTATCAATAGTCTACAGAACAAACCATTATTATACAATAGCCTAATTACCCTAACCTGCCTAGTTGACCTAATTAACCTAGTTAAGCCTTTAAATGTCACTTTAAGCTGAATAAAAGTGTCTTGAAAAATATCTAATCAAATATCATTCACTGTCATCATGACAAAGATAAAATAAATAAGTTATTAGAGGTGAGTTATTAAAACTATTATGTAAAGAAATGTGTTGAAAAAAATCTCCCCGTTAAACAGAAATTGGGGGCTAATAATTAATCAGGGGGCTAATAATTCTGACATCAACTGTATCTGTGTTTGTCCAACAGGATTGGCAAAGGTCCTCAAGCTGGGAATTGAACTTAGCATCACTTATATTCACATATCCTCTCCTGTTGCCTCATGGGATAGTAAAGTGTCTATTGAATGCGCAATCTCTGCAAAAGTAGTAGGTCATACTTGTCAAATAAATTAACATGGAAGATTATTTTGAGTTTAATTTATTTAATTAGCTTGTTTATGAAGACTGTTGAGGGATGCACAAAAAATGATTAAGTAGTTTGTCATATATGTTAAAGTGTGCCCCCCCTGCTCTGGTCTAGAACCGCCATTGCCGGTATCCTGCAGAGTTTAGCTCCAACCCCAATGGCAAACTCCTGAGCGAGCTTATCAAGCTGTTACTATGCACACCAGAAACCTCCAGGCTAGGATGTTGAGGCAAGTTGGAGCTAAACTCTGCAGCACCAGTCCTAAAGGTCCAATAATTGGTCCTGGACTAAAAATAAAATAAAAATAAAAAAATTTTGGAACAGATGGAGCCTGCTTTATCTGGACACTGCATCACTTGCCTGAACGAGTAAGTAACAGTTCCAAAAGCCTGTGTGTATGACTAAAATGTTGTTCAATACCTCAGTTACACACCAAGGATGTTGTTATTTTAAAAGGGTGAACTTTTAGATTTTATTGTTTGCAACAAATTATTAAAATAATTTACCACAAATGTTGCAGTGTGATTATTATTTTAAAAAGTAGTCTTTTTAAAACCTAAACCAAACGTTTCTCATGATTATTCTATTGAATAACCTTCTTAGAACATTGTAGAGTGATTATTTACTAAATATCCCCTCCCACAAAATATGTTTACAGAACTTCCCTCATATAGTCGTTTTCAGGTTATTTTTTAAAATATTTTTGTTATTTTGCATATTTATGTCTGAAATTAGGCCTAAATAAATTGTAGAAAAAGAGTAAAACTTTAAGAACTGTAAGTTTAAAAAACTTTAAACTGTAAGAACATTTTATATTAGGTGAAAATTATACAGCTCAAACGTGAATTAATTTCTGTTTCTGCACTTTGGATTTTTCTTATCCAGCACTCATTCTACATTAAGACCCCTCCCTAATTTAAGCATTAACATTTTGTCGATTACATAGGTGAGAGGTACATAGAAAAATCATAAAGTTGTGGGTCTATTTTATTTTTTATTCATGCTGCGCCTCTTATTTGCGTGCGCCTTTGCATTACTCGCTTATATCAGTGTTGCCAGATTGGGCAGTTTTGAATTTGATTGTGTAGGTAAAAATGATATAGGCGGGTAGAAAATATTAGGGGGCTTTGGAATGGCGCCCCCGGTCCCAGAGACATGATCATGTTCTCATTTTTTCCCCAGTCAAATGTGTCATGTGAACGTGTTTTTCCAAAGTTAACCTCGTCAAAACAAAGCCACAAAATTGGCTTATTATAGATTCTCTGAATAATAGGCTCGTGCACACCTCAGAGGCATCTCCCAAAATGAATCCCTTAACATCTGGCAACACACGCAGGACAGCGACTCGGAGGTGGCGTTTAAACTTTCCCAGTATGTCTAAATTTTTTATTAACGTATATTGTGGTAATTTTCCTCTAAATGCGATAATTTTCAGGTTCTAGTACGATACTTTGACATTTCCAATCTGGCAACACTGCTCTAGATTTTTGGGCGGTTGTTTTTGCATATTGGCGGGTTTTGGATAGTTTGTGGGCTGGAATCAGTCAGCTACTTCTGGCAACACCTGAGGTGAATAACGGTCAATTGGTTAAAGTGATTCGTTTCTCCATCTTTTTATAAAAAAATGCTTATAAATGTGTTAAACAGAGACGTTTATGGACCAAATGGAATTAAAGCTTGGAAATTAAAGTGCTGAGTCATGTCGTATGTCACAGTAAACTGTAACGTTACAGATACCATAGCCTAATCCATCAATCCCCATTTCCTGGCTAATCAATGATAAATGTTCTGGAAAACTAAACTAACAATTCTTGAACGTTTTGGTAAGCAAATATTATTAGGATAGGACAGGACATATTTTAAAAAAATAATTTAATTAAATTTAATATTTAAAAAAAAAGTAGGCTACATGTGGAGAGTTGGACTTTTTTATATGTTTTAGAAGTCACTTCCTTCACATTATCCAGCATTACTTTCACTTTCATGCTCGGGCGAGTTTTTTTCTCCCCACAAAACTTAAAAGGCTGTGTGGGGGGATTCTTATGAAACAAAACTTAACTCCCTTTCAGCATTCACAGGTGTGTACTGCTGCATAATCTACACGAACAGAAACGCAAGGAAAGGAGGTAAGACATTTTGTATTAACTTTTATTGGTTTGTCAGTGATGGTAAAAGAAACTGTAAATGTTAATATGTAAACTGTAGTAAATGTATGTTATGATTAACATGTTTAGTCATTTAGACATATATAGAATAATTTATCACAAATAAGGCAGGCACATTAAGCATTTCAAATGCAATAACAAGTGCTGTAAACCTGACATTGTTATAAAAAAACGCTACAGAAGCTAAATGTTTTGTTCGTTTTTAAGATGTGGTAAAGTGCTCACAGAGGAGAAGAGCTTTCAGTTTTCATTTGGATTTTGCCAATGGCTTTGCAGATGTGCTCTTAAACAGGCTACAAATGAAATCAAAACTAACCATATGATTTTGTTAGCTTACATTGCTAGTTTTGTGCTGAACAATTCATCTGTGCATGTTTTTAAGAAAAAAAAATGTCTTTCTAATGTTTCATTTAAATCAGAGAAGGCACTTCCTGTTTGTGCTTAGTTAAATAGACCTTTTACGCACTTCCGCATTTTTCGAACGGAAATACGTCAATGTAGTGCATTAGAACTTCCTGTTATCATAGCGGCAGATTTGAAAATGGCAAAGTCGAAGAATCGCAGTTTCTGTTGTGTTCCAGGCTGTTGGTCTTCTAACCAAAAACAGCCCTACCTTTTATTTCATTCTTTCCTGTGGTTCCAAACCTGAAACCTAAATGGATACAGTCGATCCGAAGAGAGGAAGGGCATAGTTTTAATGCAGTTAAGATTGTTCATAGTGTATTTAGCTAACGCTAGTCACCTGTGTGTACCGTTATGCATATCTACCTGAACAAATTAATGTTAATAATATAAGCTGTTCACGAAACTCAACTAATAAAATAAAATATTTTTTTTAATAATGAAACAATTTATTGCTGTGACATCTAGTAAATACACAAAGTTTTATCATACTAGCATGTGTGGAAGTATTTAAAACAAGTGTGTTACAACTGGCCCTGTGTTAGGTTCTGCCCCGCTCTCCCCTATTTTAATTGCATGTTTTTAATTACTTATTTAATTAACTTCGGAAGACAACTCAGGCTCGCCGAAAACACTCTAGCTGCCTTTTCTCCGCCAAAAAACTCATACCGGAACTGGGTTTACACGTTGTTGACGTACTTCCGTTTTTTGCGTAAAAGGTCTATTCTCAGATTACGTCGGTTTGAGGTATTGGGCGTGGCTAATCCGCTTGTTAAGTGTGACGTCACGCGAAGCGGCTTCCGGGTCCAAGTGCTCTATTCAACTGAATGGGGAGACTCATGAAATGGTAATAATAAACATTTACAAAGTGATTTGAGGCTTTCACGATTAATGATGACGATGATTTTTCACAAAATCACGATCGCAGTATATATGTCCATGCCTAATATCCGATGGCCAGAAAGTGATACATTTTTTTATAAATTGTTAAATTTTTGGTATTTGTTATGCAGCAAGCCCAGAGATTGTTGTGTACACTATGATTTTATATAAAATTAACTTTAATGTGTGATATGAATAAAACGTGATCATAAACGAATGATTTCTCCACTCGAATGGCGGCTTAGACCCAGAAACAGTATACATACGTCACAAACACGTCACCACTTAACAAGCGGATATACCACGCCTCATCAACGGTCAGTTTTGAGAGACACTGCTCGCTGCAGAGGCACTTGGGTTCCAGTGAGTGGCAGTGTTGCCAGATTGGGTGGTTTTGAGTTTGTTTTTGCGGGTAAAAAATGACAAAGGCGGGTAATTGAAAATTTGGGCGGTTTTGCAACGGCGTGCCCGCCAGCCCCGGTCTTCACATATATACCTGTTAGGATCTCCCAAAGAGATGCCATACCCCCTGTTCTTTACTTACAACGCTTTCAACGGTTGTGATCTCCCAAGGACACAACTTGAAACGCCTAATTTGCTACATCCAATCACCTCGCAGTAGAAAAAACAAGCCACGCCCACTTTTTTAAAATTTAATATTCCATTTCTCTAGGAACTATGTCACAATTTGAAATAACACAATTGTTGAAGATTCCGATTCTTGTGGACTTTAAAATGATCACTAGTTATGTTTTAAGCTTATCCATGAATAGAAAATTGTAAGGTATTGATCTTGTTTTTGTTTATTTTTGTTTGTTTGTTTCAGCAGTAGAAATTTCAAAATGGCTGAATCCATGCTGAGTCAACAAAAGGATCAGTTCAGCTGTTCGGTGTGTTTGGATCCACTGAAGCAGCCGGTGACGATTCCCTGTGGACACAGTTACTGTATGAGCTGTATTACTGACTGCTGGAGTCTGAAGGAGCAGGGGCCGCCGTACCGCTGTCCCCAATGCAGAGAGATCTTCAGACAGAAACCTCTACTAAAGAAGAACACTCTGATAGCTGAGATGATGGAGACGCTGCAGAAGACGGCCCTACAGACGCCTGCTGCTGCTGTGGACTGTGATGTTTGCACTACAGAGAAGAACAGAGCTGTAAAGTCCTGTCTGCAGTGCTGGGCCTCCTTCTGCCAAACTCACCTGCAGCTTCACTACAAATCACCTGCATTTATGAACCACAAACTAGTCGAAGCCTCCAGACACATTTGCCCCAACCATAAAAAACCTCAGGATATTTACTGTCAGGATGATCATCAGTGTATCTGTTATTTGTGCATGATTGACAGCCATAAAGGACACCGTGTGGTGTCTGTGGAGGCAGAATTGATCAATAAAAAGGTGTGTATTTAAATGTCAGCGATACAAATATTGTATTAACAATATTAACTCTTTTTTTAATGAATTTACATATATTTAAAAGCTGTCATTTCAATTCACCTTGTAAAAACCCCTTTGCCTGACTTGTTCGTTTTTTGCCTATTAATTTCTTTACGTCCGCAGAACAAGTTAAAGGAGATGAAGTTGAAATGTCAAACGTTGATCAAGGAGCGGCAGAGAGGTTGGCAGGAGCTCAGCATTGCCATGAAGCTTTTTAAAGTATGTCTATTTAAGCATTCTTTAGATGTATTAAAGCAGTGTTTCTCAACCACATTCCTGGAGGACCACTAACACTGCATGTTTTGGATGTCTCGTTTGTCTCGCACACATTACAGGTCTTTTAGTCTCTACTAATGAGCTGATGATCTGAATCAGGTGTGTTTGGTTAAGGAGACCAGGAAAATGTGCGGAGCTGGTGGTCCTCCAGGAACGTGGTTGAGAAACACTGTATTAAAGGACCATGTTGGTTATAAAAATAAAGATTTTTTTTTTTATTCAATTGGTTCAGATCTTACCTTGAAGGAAAAGGTTACTATGTCAGTATTCACCTTATTCTTCGCCAAGAACGGGCGCAGCCATTTGAATCTTTTTGGCATGAGACTTCCAGTCTCATTCACTTCCATTCATTTTTAGACATTAAAAACTGCTCGTTTGGCTGTTTGATGTTTCAAACTGATATTTCCTTGTTATATTATTTTATTTGGTCTGTATAGTCATGCAAACATTTGTTTGTAGAGCAAGTAGTTTGACCGTTTTTTGCCGTTTATTATTCCTAGTCATTTCTCCCATAGGCGACTTAATCGGAAGTTCTAAGACAATCGCGAAAACAGGCGCACTTCCGCATTTTAGAATAAGGTCAATAGGGTAATTACCAACCTATGTCATACATGACGTCACACGTTTTCAACCGCGCATACCGGTTGCAAAAAAAGATAGCAAACATGTGTTTTGCGGTAGGATCGAAAGTCCAACAATAGAAAACTTTACCGTACACCACACTGCTTTTAATGCCAACTGCAGATGTCTTTGGCTAACAGCCATTAGAAGAGCTGAATGGAGTGAGGACCTAATTAAAAATGCTCGACTCTGCATGTCATATCATTTAAGTTCACGCTATGCTGAATCATACACATTACTCGTTTCTGATTGCAGCAATGATTTCAATGAAAACAGGTAAATACGGTGAATTAAACTGCGGACACTGAATGCTTAGAATGGAATGTACAAATGTAAGTTCACATACCCTGCCGTACAGGTGCAGTTCGCTGTCAGAATGCCAGACATCCCAAGTTCGAAAAAGTCATTTCCGGGGGATACAGAATAGATTTGCGGGAGGTAGCGGGATAGTGGGAGCTTGAAGAGGGGGGGGGGGCGGTGTAGTGAGCGATGTATCTGAGATGGGGAGCGTGTGCCTGTGAGATGTACCCAAAGAGCGGTGGAAGTTGCGCGCAACGCAACATACCTGAAGAGCGGTGGGGATGAGTTGCATGCGATGTACTTGAATAGCTGTGGGGGTCAGTTGCGGGAGACGTAGCTGAAGAGCTAGTAGGGATGCGGTGGAGAGAGGGGTGTGCAACTTCCGGGAGACTTGGGATGCCTGGAATGCAGTTGTTTTGCTTGTTGATGATTACCCAGACCTTGTACATCTCTTCTTTCCTTGTCATCTTCTTTCCTTGTCTTTGGCTAGGCAGAACCTCGGTTTTTAGAACTACAAAGTTTTGAATCTGGTAATCATGGAACTTTATTTCTTGCACATGACCACACTGAACAACATTGTAGGCATCCAAAGACTTGTAGGCCTTTAACTTTTCTCTTGTTAAATCACTTAGAGTTTTAATGAGATAGTTGTATATTTCAGGCTGGATGCTTGGTCATTTCGTCTTATCCAATATCCATTGGGAGGGTGCTATAACAAATGGATCTGTTAGACCAGGGGTCACCAACCCTGTTCCTGGAGAGCTACCTTCCTGCTCATTTCAGTTGCAACGCTGACCAAACACACCTGTTTGTAATTATCAAGTGCTGCTTTAGGTACTATGAATTGGTTCAGGTGTGTTTGATCAGGGTTGGGACTGAATTCTGCAGGAAGGTAAATGCTAAATGCTAGCACTCCACCTTGATGCGCGCGCATCCTGAATGTTTACAAGCCACTATTTTGTCTATAGGTGAGCATAGGTCAAGGTGGACACCCATGACATGTGAAGTCCTACAAGGTTCAATTCTGGCATCTCTCCTGTTCATTCATTATATGCTCCCACTGAGCCAAATAATGAGAAATAACCACATCTCCTACCACAGTTTTGTTGATGACACTCAGATCTAGTCAGCCTTATTGCCAAATGACTACAGCCCTCTGACAGTGCATTGATGAAATGAACAGTTGAATGTGCCAAAACTTTCTTTAGTTAAACAAAGAGAAAACTGAAGTCATTGTGTTTGTGAACAGAGATGAGGTTCTCAAGGTGAATGCGTACCTTAACTCTAATGCCGAGTTCAGACTGCATGATTTTCAAAGTAGTCGTGTCACAGATGTTTTCACACTGCATGACTATCTGGGCTAGCGTTTCGTCGCTGCTTTGTTTACACTGCAAGATGTATCGGCGACAGGGACATTCCCATTGCATGACTTCACTATAGGAAGAATCGCCGACAACTTCGTGCAAACTGCGTCTCACAGCCAAAAACACGTAGTATATCTTTTGTTATTAACTACATAATGAGAAAGAAGCGAGAATTAGCCATTTCTCCTCAACGTTGATAATAAACTAATTTCTTTCTGTATGAAATGTCAAACAGACATGGTTGCTCCTGAGTCCTGTCAGACCTCCACTAGTTTTTCCTCCATTTCGTGGGTCCAAATAAACCGAAAAAGAGCGCTTTTAACTTCTCCCCCAGCCTCACGCTGGCCTGCAGCAGGTATACACACACGCACACACAAGTAAGCTGTTCTCTCATTGGCTGTAGGCGATGGCTGATGTTATTTTCAGTGAAAACTCAATTCACACGGCATGACTTGAATCGCTGACAGCTCCAGATATTTAGCATGCCAAATATCTCACAGGCATCGGCGACTCATCGGTGATTCTCTCAGATCACGTCTTTAGTTCATACTGTGTGATTGTCACTCACGTGCACGAGCAGCGATGTGCCTGTGATTTCAGGCATTTGTTGGCGATTTCTCAAAACCTGAATTTGACTGGGGTTGGCAAAATAACATTTATTATGTCAAACAATCTGCATGATCATCACATGTTTGTGTCTCCACCTTCAGAGTTCAGCAGATGAGGCGGTGGAGAAGATGGAGAAGGTGTTCACTGAGCTCATCTGCTCTCTGGAGAAGAAACGCTCTGAGATTAAAGAGCAGATCAGAGCTCAGGAGAAGACGGAGACAGATCGAGCAGAGCAACTTCACCAACATCTGCATCAAGAGCTGACACAACTCAGAAAAACACAAGCAGAGATCGATAAACTGCTCACTACTGAAGACCAGATCCACTGTCTGAAGGTCATTAGTAGTAGTCATTTTAATGAGAATGTTCCATATGAAAGCAAAGGTACATACTTGTTCTCTCTTATTCAACTCAAAAATGTTTGTGTCATTTCAGAGCTGTGAGTCTGTGTGTGTTTTACCCACATTTGAAGACGTTCCCAGCTTCACTTCACACACTCATCTGTCTTTTAAAGACCTTTCATTCTCAGCATTCAGAGAGGCTTTAGAGGACGCCTGTCAACAGCAAACAGATGCAATAAGCAGAGAAGGTTTGCATGTTTTGATTGGTGAATTTTTGTTTACACTCAGCAGGAAATTAATGATACTGTTTTGTCTCTTCAGTGTCAAACATTCATGTTGTAAAGCCTCCAGACCTAAAGACTCAAAATGATTTTTTGCAGTGTAAGTTGAAGGCAGATAGACATTATGTAAAAAATAGCCACCAGTGGTTTGTTACACTGTGATTTTGTCTGTTTCTCCTCAGACTTTTGTCAGATTCATCTGGATCGAAACACTGCGCACAAAAACCTCAAAGTGACAGAAGACAACAAGAAAGTATCATGTTCGGATAAAGACCAGAAATATCCTGATCACCCAGAGCGGTTTGATGGATACTGCCATGTCTTGTGTAGAGAGGGTTTGACTGGCCGCTGTTACTGGGAGGTTGAGTGTAGTGGCAAATACTGGGCAGTAGCAGTTTGTTATAGAGGAATCAGTCGTAAAGGAGTCAGTGATGACTGTAAACTGGGCTTCAACAAGATTTCCTGGAGACTGGGCTATTATCTGCAGAATTTCAGTTTCATACATGGTAAAGCACATGTCCGTCTTCCTCCTGCTTCTAGAATTGGAGTGTATCTGGATCACAAAGCAGGAATGCTGTCTTTTTACAGTGTCTCTGACACAATGACCCTCCTTCACAGAGTCCAGACCACCTTCACTGAACCACTGTACCCTGCGTTTTATTCTGGGTCTGGGTCGTCAGTCAAAATCATAGAATAAAGGACAGTTAAAAAAATACCAAATAAAAAAAACACAGTTTATGTAATGAATTACCTGAACTATTCACAAATGCCAAAGATCAACATGTAGTTTATGTATGTTCAGTACAGTACAGTACAGTACAAATATTCACTCAATTGCATGTTAACAAATGTATTAAATGGTGATTCTCTCATTAATCATAAATGCTGAGGTTAAATGACCTCATTTTTGTAGATGTAGATTATCATGTTGGATATTTAGGGTTTTAATATGGTAACAAAATGCTTTTTTTTTTTACCTTTCACAGTGGTTGTTTTTATCTTTATATGTGAAATGTAATGCAAGATTTGCTATCTTTACTTCAGCCAACCTTCAATGGCATGATGTTTTAAATGTTTTATATTAGAAATGCTTATTCTTTGAACCATAATTGAATTATGCTGGAAATTGAATGTAGGCTACATTTCAAATATCTTAATTATTAATAACCTGTAGGCTTAAGTTCAGGCATTTTAAAGTTATGTCTGTTACTGTCCAAACATCTCTTGAGTAAAATGTGCCTACAGTATGTGTAATTTAGAAAATGTGCCATTCAGATGGATTTCTTTAACTGTGGTTCTGTCATTTTGTTTATAGGCTAATTCAGTTGAATAATCTACATATTTTTGATGTGTATAATGATTTTGCAATGAATCAAAACCAACCGCATATATTAGCCACATTGATCAGATATTACAAAGCTGTAGTACATTTTCTTCAATAGCTTTTTTCATGCCAAAACCACAATGAGGTAAAAAGGCTATAGAAGATTATGTGCTACAGCTTGAATTATATCTGATCAATGGGGCTAATAAAATAATATGATTGATTTTTATTCATTGTACCAGTAGAGGGCATAACAACGCTGAAAACGAGGACGTTTTGAGTTCAGAAGAAATGAAACTTATTTCGTCATACCGTCAGCTTTTAGATCTGCCCTGCTGGTCAATTTGGCAAACCTGTAAAAGCAATAACATTTCATTTCTGCTGTCGAGGTAAGAGCTCATCCGAACCTGTCTGCTTTGAAGAAAGATCTCTTGAGATTGCGTTTTTAATCTCGTAACGTTATTTATAACCACTTTGTTTTGTATAATATCTATATACAGTGTTACGGTAATAAGTCGAGCCGACCTGAATAACGTGGTGAGTGTGGTCTGTTTTCGGGTCACTTTGTTTCTGTTTTGGAAAACATAAACTCTTTCCTGCCGACTACTGTTATGGTTTTATTTTGCTATGAAGCCCTGTGGTCATAATTTTGTAGTAACGGTAGTTCTACTACAAATGTTTTGGTAAAAATACGTTATTTTATGGTTATCTGTGAAAACTGTGGTAGCTTTATTCTGTGTTTACTGCAGGCCTACTCCAAATATTGCCTTTGTAGTAAAACCTGGTTTTAAATAAAGTTGTATTCCATATTTGCGGTAGTAAAATCATAGTTAATTTTAATAAACATTTTAAATAATGAAACAATTGCTAGCAAGTAGTCTACGTACAAGATGTTTAGTTGCCTAATGTTTTTTTTTCTCCCTGTACATATCAGCAATTCCTTGAAAATGTAAACATTTCAGTCATGATCATGACTAAAACACTTCTCTTTAGTTGCTAAATACAAGTTGTGCTGGATTCATATATAACCGCCATCTACTTTACATAATAAATAAGCTAAAGTGAACATCTTTTTAGGTTGACTGCTATAATATGTACTGTTTTTGTCATAAAAATGTCACTTTTCTTACCGAAGTACTTTTTTTTTTCAATGAACAAAAACATGAAAACATGGCCAAAAGATGTCTGAGTCGTCCTCGAGTCAGTATGTGGATCAGTTCAGCTGTCCAGTGTGTTTGGATCTGCTGAAGGAGCCGGTGACGATTCCCTGTGGACACAGTTACTGTATGAGCTGTATTACTGACTGCTGGAGCCTGAAGGAGCAGGGGCCGCCGTACCGCTGTCCTCAATGCAGAGAGAGCTTCAGTCAGAGACCTCTACTGAAGAAGAACACTCTGATAGCTGAGATGATGGAGACGCTGCAGAAGACGGCCTTACAGACGCCTGCTGCTGCTGCTGCTGCTGTGGACTGTGATGTTTGCACTACAGAGAAGAACAGAGCTGTAAAGTCCTGTCTGCAGTGCTTGGCCTCCTTCTGCCAAACTCACCTGCAGCTTCACTATGAGTCTCCTGCGTTTATGAAGCACAAACTAGTGGACGCCTCCAGACACATTCAGGAGAACATCTGCCCCAGTCATGGGAGACCGCTGGAGATTTACTGTCAGGATGATCATCAGTGCATTTGTTATCTGTGCATGGTTGACAGTCATAAAACCCACAGTGTGGTGTCTGTGGATTCAGAATGGACTAGTAAAAAGGTAATGCTTTTATCAACAAAGCATTAAGTATTTAAAGTATACAAACAAATTGCATGTTTATTAGTTAACACCCAGGTGTTACAAACTGTTATATATTTTTTGTTGATTTTTTTTTTTTTTTTTTATCTTTTTATCTTTTTGTAAAACGTTTTCAGAATGTGTTAGAGGAGATGAATCTGACGTGTGTAAAGCTGATCAAGGAGCGAGAGAAAGGACAGCGGCAACTCAGGACAGCTACGAAGCATCTAAAAGTATGTAACTTTAGGTATACTGTAATTAAAATGTTTTTGGAGCATAACTACACTGCATCCAGTATGTATTCATAACTTTTTCCACAAATTCTTTGTTAAGCCTTATTCCAAAATAGATTAAATTAATTTATTTCCACAAAATTCTACACACAACACCCCATAATGACAATGTGAAAAAGATTTTTTGAAATTGTTTCAAATTTATCAAAAATAAAAAAGCTGAAAAGTCACATGTACATCAGTATTAACAGCCTTTGCCGTGAAGCTCTAAATTGAGCTCAGGTACATTCTGTTTCTACTAATCATTCTTGAGACGTTTCAGCAGCTTAATTGGAGTTGACCTGTGGTAAATTCAGTTGATTGGACATGATTTAAAAAGGCATACACCTGTCAATATAAGGTCCCAGGGTTGACAGTGCATGTCAAAGCACAAACCAAGCATGAAGACAAAGGAATTGTCTGTAGACCTCCGAGACAGGATTGTGTCGAGGCACAAGGCTGGGGAAGGTTACAGAAGAATTTCTGATCAATAACCTGATGTCACTCTGTCTGAGCTCCAGTGTTCTTCTGTTGAGAGAGGAGAACCTTACATAAAGACAACCATCTGTGCAGCAAACCACCAATCAGGCCTGTATGGTAGAGTGGCAAGACGGAAGCCACTTAAATTTGCCAAAAGGCATCTGTAGGACTCTCAAGACTATTACGAAACAAAATTCTCTCATCTGATGAGACTAAAATTAAACTTTTTAGAGTGAATGCCAGGTGTTACGTTTGGAGAAAGCCAGCCACCGCTCATCACCAGGCTAAAACTGTCCCTACAGTGAAGCATGGTGGTGGCAGCATCATGCTGTGGGGATGTTTTTCAGCAGCAGGAACCGGAAGACTAGTCAGGATAGAGGGAAAGATGAATGCAGCTAAGTTAATTGCTATGAATACTTTCCGGATGCACTGTATATATTTATGTAATTTTCGATACAAGTTGACATTGAGAAAAAAATTTCTATATCTGTAGTGACTAGTGTTTGCTTATTTTGAGCAATCTGCCAAAAAACAGCATTAACATAAACTGCATTCTTTTTCAGTATTACTATCACATCAATACTCCACATGATGATCACATGTTTGTGTCTATATCTCCAGAGTTCAGCCGAGGAGGCGGTGGAGAGGATGGAAAAGGTGTTCACTGAGCTCATCTGCTCTCTGGAGAAGAAACGCTCTGAGATTAAAGAGCAGATCAGAGCTCAGGAGAAGACCGAGACAGATCGAGCAGAGCAACTTCACCAACATCTGCATCAAGAGCTGACACAACTCAGAAAAACACAAGCAGAGATCCACAAACTGCTCACTACTGAAGACCACATCCACTGTCTGAAGGTGATGCAAGGCATTTCATCACACATTTGTGTACTAAACTCACTGATTCAGTCTTTTCCCAAAGCAAACAGTGCTGTATTTGTGTCATTTCAGAGCTGTGAGTCTGTGTGTGTTTTACCCACATTTGAAGATGTTCCCAGCTTCACTTCACACACTCATCTGTCTTTTAAAGACCTTTCAATCTCAGCATTCAGAGAAGCTTTAGAGGATGCCTGTCGACAGCAAACAGACACATTTTCTCAAGAAGGTCTGAATGCCTTGAAATTTAATATAATTTATAATTCGTATGATAAACCAACTAATAATCTTGTTTTTTTTTTTTTAGTGTCAAATGTTCATGTTGTAAAGCCTCCAGAACCAATGACGTACAACCAATTTTTGTGTTGTAAGTTAAACAGTTTTTTTTTTTTTTTAAGGCAAAATGCATTAATTGCTAATTACAATGGATATTATCTGTTACAATTTGACCATTCTGTAGTCAATTTATTCAGTATTTGTTTTTGTCCATTCATCAGATTTCTATCAGCCTCATCTGGATCCAAACACTGCACACAAAAATCTCATCCTGTCAGAAGAAAACAGGAGAATATCATATTCAGATACAGACCAGCAATATCCTGATCATCCAGAGCGGTTTGCTGTATACTGTAATGTCTTGTGTAAGGAGGGATTGACTGGTCGCTGTTATTGGGAGGTTGAGTGTAGTGGCAAAAAATGGGCTGTTGCAGTTTCTTACAAAGGAATCAGTCGTAAAGGAAACACTGATGACTCTAGACTTGGCTACAACAAGCAGTCTTGGAGATTGAGCTGTTTTAAAGAGAATGTATTTTTTAAACATGACAGTGAAGTAGTCTCAGTCCCTGTTTTTGATTCCTCTAGAATAGGAGTGTTTCTGGACCACAGAGCAGGAATTTTGTCCTTTTACAGCATCTCTGACACAATGACCCTCCTTCACAGAGTCCAGACCAGCTTCACTGAACCGCTGTACCCTGCGTTTGGGCTTCTGGAAGGTTCTATCAGGATCATTGAGCAGAGAAAATGTCTTTAAGACCAGGAGTCATCATCTGACTAATTGTCCAAATAAATTAATTCTCAGATTAAAAAGCCAATTAAATAACCATATTCATTAAATTGCTATTTCAAAAATGATTATAAAACAGAATTTAAAGTTACACCAACCACTTTTCTTTGAACTTGTGGAGAAACCGGAGTGCCCAAAGGGAAACCCACACGAACACAGGGAAAACATGCAAACTCAACACAGAAATGCCAACTGACCCAGCCGAGGCTCGAACCAGCGACCTTCTTGCTGTGAGGCAATCGTGCTACCCATTACACCACCATAACACCCCTTATTTAGATATATTTGAGAATATATTTACATGTTTGCATTAAGTAGTGAGAGGCACTTAATCTCATCGCACATGTATATAATGTTCTTTGTATATGACTACATTGACAATAAAAAGCCTGTGGTGACATTTGTTTGTTTCCCATGAGGAAAACGGCTCATAAATCACAGAGGATTACCTACTGTAAACATGCAGTTTTCTTTGAGTGTTGGGTTTAGGGGTTGTGGGGATAGAATATAGAGTTTCTATAGTATTAAAATCATTATGTCTATGAGAAATCCCCTACAGATAGCTTTACAAGTGTGTGAGATCAAAAAGGAATTATTTAAAAATATCCTTTTAAAAGCAAGAAAAAAATCTGATATGTTTAAATCTAGCAGTAGTAGAATTCATCACTTTAATAATTTTACTCACATGGCTGTGTTCAAGTTACATACATTTATAAAAGCTGGGTTGATCTAACCCACAGGTGTCAAACTGAGTTCCTGGAGGGCCACAGCTCTGAACAGTTTAGCTTTAACCCTAATTAAACACACCTGATCAAACTAATTGAGTCCTTCAGGCTTGATTGAAACCTACAGGTAAAGCCCCGGTCACACTGCACTTTTCTCCATATAAACTTCCATTCATACGCACACAAATGCGACAGCCCGGAAATGCAAGGCCGTGCATCAAGTTTGCAGTTCGTTGCATTGGAAAGTTCAAGCTTGGTTAACTCTGACCTGCGAAATCCCATCACTTGACTTAATCCAATTGAGGATCATAAACATGACCTCTCTGAACTGAAATTTTAAATATGGACCAATCGCTCGCTTGCTTCGTTTTTATGTCTATAACAGCCTTCCATTGCTGTTATCACCAGAAATGGGGGTGAGCACGTATTTCACGCGTGCAATCAGAGTCCATGCATGCTAAAGTTGTTTTTAAGCAGAATGTCTTTATTTGTGCAGGTGAATTAAACAAAGCCTCAATCTTTGCTTCTCCTTTCTTCTTTATCATGTCAATATAACATTCACTCCATGTACACACAGCACATATCTAAACACTGCTGTTTTCTGGCTAGCAAACAAGTTACTCTGTGGCACGATCAAAAACCGTGTGCTTTCCCATACCTGACTCTCTTCCTCGCTTAAGCCTGGTTTATACTTCTGCGTCAAGTGACCGGCGCAACTCACGGCGCAGGCAACGTGCGTGGCTGTGCATTTATACTTCTGCGCGCTGTCTCTGTTGGTCTGCATTAACACTTCCGAAACGCTAGTGGGCAGTGAGGTGTAAATGTTCCTCTGTGTCGAGTTTCTTCGCTTCTGTTTTGCTATTCTGATCACTTCCTGGATGTACAAGTGACTCAAACTCGCTCATTTTGAGGCAGGAACCGGCGGACGTGCAACAACTTTAACCATGAGGTAAACACAAAACAAAACTTTCCATCCGGAGCTCCTTCACGGGACTCCACACTTGTAAACAATCGCTCACGCCATTCGCGCGGCTTTCGGTCCCGCCCAGACTCGTCAGCGCTACCAAGCCGACCAATCACAGAGCTTGCGCTACGCGTTGTTGCGACGTGTAGTTACAATTTTTGAGAGGTGCACGTCAGTGACGGCGATGGCCACGGCGAAGGGCTATGCGTCAGCGCCGTAGCCTACGCCGGTGTTTGACGCAGAAGTATAAATCAGCCTTTACACAGGCACCTTAGTTATAGTTTTCAGCTAGTGACACATAGTGGACAACATAAATCACTACAACACAAAAATGGCTCCTACAATGTCTAATCATCTTGTTTAATCTCGCCCCTTTTCGCAGCGCCATATGACAGAACTTCGCAAGCTTAAACTCTAGTGTGAGCGCAGCTTTAGAAACTGAAGAAATAAAACTACAGACACAGCCTCACACCAAACCAAGGATTAAACAATGCTGCGGTCTCACTAGAGTTTGTGCATGTGAAATTCTGTCTACGGCGCTGCAAAAAGGGGTGGATTAAACAAGATAATTAGACATTTAAAAAAGCAAGCGATTGGTCCATGTTTTAAAATTTTGTCCAGAGAGGTCATGTTTTGATCCTCGATTGGTCTCACGCAGTCAAGTGATGCGATTTCGCAGGTCAGAGTTCACCAAATTTACACTTTACAACGCAGCGATCTGCAAAACTTGACGCACAAGCTTGCGTTTCCTGTCTGATGCATTCGCGTGCATATGAATGGAAGTCTATGGGGAGAAAAGTCCAATGTGACCGCAACTTAAGTGTGTAAGAGCAGGGTTGGAACTAAACTGTGCGGGTATGCGGCCCTCCAGATACTGACTTTGACACCCCTGATCTAACCCAAAAAACAAACCTAACCATGGGGTTAAAAAGTGTCATTTAAACTTAATGGAAAAAAATTAACCCAATCATATCTACCCAACCAAATTAACCCAGTATTGTCCATATTTAATCTAGGGCTAGGTTAGAGCAACATACCATATTTTGTTTAGTGTAGAAACATTTTCTATATGTTATTAGACAGTATGATGATTGGTGTTGGCATGAAAAAAAGCAATATGATTCTAAACCTAAAAATAGGAGCAACGAACATTAAAAGTACATAGTCATGGTTTTGTAAATTATATGATTATTGTCTGCTGACTTAACCTTTGCTTTCCACACACACACACACACACACACACACACACACACACACACATATGCAAACTAAAAACCAGGGAGTGTTTGGATTGGAATTCCAGAGAAATGAAACCTATTCCTCTGCCATTAGAGTCTCTGCTTGAAGATCCACACTCTTCTAGTTTGGTCGAAGCTGTATGTAGGAAATATTTGACTTGATCTGTAAAACCAGGTAAGAACATCTTATAAACTCATTTTGCTGACATTTAAAGCGATTTAAATGTTACTGTTTGATAATTATGTGTTATAATCTCTTGCTGTCATGTTATTACTTGATGCATTAATTATTTTTTATGTTGGATGTTAGAATTTAGTACATTTTACATGTGGTTATTCATTAAGCGTTTGCATGTGTTTACATGTGGCAGATTGTTTTGAAGCATCTGCAAAGATGTCTGAGTCGTCCTCAAGTGAGTATGTAGATCAGTTCAGCTGTCCAGTGTGTTTGGATCTGCTGAAGGAGCCGGTGACGATTCCCTGTGGACACAGTTACTGTATGAGCTGTATTACTGACTGCTGGAGCCTGAAGGAGCAGGGGCCGCCGTACCGCTGTCCCCAATGCAGAGAGAGCTTCAGTCAGAGACCTCTACTGAAGAAGAACACTCTGATAGCTGAGATGATGGAGACGCTGCAGAAGACGGCCCTACAGACGCCTGCTGCTGCTGCTGTGGACTGTGATGTTTGCACTACAGAGAAGAACAGAGCTGTAAAGTCCTGTCTGCAGTGCTTGGCCTCCTTCTGCCAAACTCACCTGCAGCTTCACTATGAGTCTCCTGCGTTTATGAAGCACAAACTAGTGGACGCCTCCAGACACATTCAGGAGAACATCTGCCCCAGTCATGGGAGACCGCTGGAGATTTACTGTCAGGATGATCATCAGTGTATTTGCTGCATGTGCACTGATAATCATAAAGGACACAGTGTGGTGTCTGTGGATTCAGAATGGACTAGTAAAAAGGTAATGCTTTTATTAGCAAGAATATTCAGTAATGTAGGAGCTAACAACTACATTACATGTTTATAAGTGGTTATTTTCACTGTTCACCAGACTGAAAAGGCGTAATGTTTGTTTTTACTATTTTTACATTCTTTTTTTTTGTTATCATCTTTAGGAAGAGTTAGAGGAGATGAAGTTAAAGTGTCTAAAATTGATCAAGGACCGAGAGAAAGGACAGCAGGACCTCAGTAAAGCTACAAAAAATCTAAAAGTATGAATCTTTGTGTGTTCTTTTATTAAAAATAAATTAGTTTAAAACAAAAAGTGTGCACTTTTTGATTTTTCAATACAGGTAGACGGTGTGCAGTAAGATTCAGCACCAGAATTAAGAAAAGAAATTGCATCTACTGCATCATTGTTTATCAGTGTGACAGCCATGATCTGCGTGATCACATGTTTGTGTCTCCATCTTCAGAGCTCAGCTGACGAGGCGGTGGAGAGGATGGAGAAGGTGTTCACTGAGCTCATCTGCTCTCTGGAGAAGAAACGCTCTGAGATTAAAGAGCAGATCAGAGCTCAGGAGAAGACTGAGACAGATCGAGCAGAGCAACTTCACCAACATCTGCATCAAGAGCTGACACAACTCAGAAAAACACAAGCAGAGATCGATAAACTGCTCACTACTGAAGACCAGATCCACTGTCTGAAGGTGATACAAGGCATTTCATCACACATTTGTGTACTAAACTCACTGATTCAGTCTTTTCCCAAAGCAAACAGTGCTGTATTTGTGTCATTTCAGAGCTGTGAGTCTGTGTGTGTGTTACCCACATTTAAAGATGTTCCCAGCTTCACTTCACACACTCATCTGTCTTTTAAAGACCTTTCAATCTCAGCATTCAGAGAGGCTTTAGAGGACGCCTGTCAACAGCAAACAGATGCAATAAGCAGAGAAGGTTTCAGTGCTTCTTCTACATCGAAAATAACTGAATGTATCATTCACAGAACTAAATATTAACAGTGCAGTTGTTTTTTCTGAACGTTTCAGTGTCAAATGTTCATGTTGTACAGACTCCACAACCAAAGTCTGAACACGACTTTTTGCAATGTAAGTATTTTTTTTCCACACTATATTTGAAAATAATCCTAATACACTTTATAAATCTGCGTTTCTGTGCATTCATCCTTCACAGATTACTGTAAACTGCAAATGGATTCCAGCACAGCACACAGAGAACTCAAACTGTCTGAGGAGAAGAGGAAAGTTTCATTTTCAGATGAGGTCCAGCCATATCCTGATCATCCACAACGCTTTGATTGGTTTCATTATATTTTGTGTAGAGAGGGTTTGACTGGTCGCTGTTATTGGGAGGTCGAGTGCAGCGGGGACATATGGGGTGTAGCAGTTTGTTACAGAGGAATTAGACGGAAAGGAAACAGCGACGACTGTAAACTAGGCTTCAATAAAGTATCCTGGAGATTGAACCGCTTACAGCAGAATATCACTTACATACGTAATAAAGTTCAAGTGCGTATTAAAGCTGGTTGCTTCTCTAGAATTGGAGTGTATCTGGATCACAGAGCAGGAATTCTGTCCTTTTACAGTGTTTCTGATACGAACACTCTCCTTTATAAAGTCCAGACCACCTTCACTGAACCGCTGTACCCTGCGTTTATAATTGGACAAGGTTCTTCTGTCAGAATCTTTGATAAAAGAACAGCTCAGATGGAAGAATTAACATAATTGATAGTTTTAAATGCACTTCCTGTAGGGCTGGCTCAGTGGTTAGCACTGTTGCCTCACAGCAAGAAGGTCACTGGTTCAAATCCCAGCTGGGTCTGTTGGCATTTCTGTGTGGAGTTTGCATGTTCTTTTCGTGTTCGGCTGGGTTTGCTCCGGTTTCCCCCACAGTCCAAACACATGTGCTATAGGTGAATTGAAGAAAGCAAATTGGCCATAGCGTATGTGTGTGAATAGGTGTGTATGGATGTTTTCCAGTACTTGGTTGCAGCTGGAAGTTCATCCACTGCATAAAACGTATGCTGGAATAGTTGGCAGTTTATTCTCAACAATGAAAAAAACAAACGTTTATGACCATCCCTGTTAAAGGCGTTCGCCCCAACATTCTCCCTCTCTTCTCAGATGGGATGGCGGGCCAAATCAAAAGTTACCATTGGCCAACTTTGGGCTGTAGGCCCTAGTTTGGGCATCCCTGCTAGAGAATATATTAATTTAAAACAGAGATCGGACTCATTTATCCTGAGCACTGTATATTTATTTAAATCAAAATGCAAACTGTTATTTGGATGATCAAAAATATGTTAATGTCTTAAACACCAACGAGGAAATTACAGCAGTCACTAGAGAATCTTCCAATTGTAACATAAATAAATAATTATGCAGCTCATGAATAGAGTGGTTTTGCATCTTATGTAGTCTTGGCATTTGAAAATACTATTTTGACATATTTGCTTTAGCTTGTAATAATCTATGTCTGAATCTATGGTGGATCTCGTCATCAGACCGCACGCTGTCAGGGTAAAATTGTTTATGTATTGGTTTTGGAAAGTTAATAAAATTATTGCTTCATTTCAAAGATGTACACTACTTGACAAAAGTCTTGCCACCTATCAAAGTTTTAGGAACTACAAATAATAACGTGACTTCTAGTTGATCATTTGGTATCACAATTGGCTTATATGAAAGGCAAAGCCCTCTACATTACACTTATTTTACCACAATAAAATATGATCATGCCTTGATTTTGAATTATTTAATTAGGACAGTAAGGTCTGACTTTGCTTAGACAAAAGTCTTGTCACTGAACAGAAATAATGTCCAGTATAGAATATAAAGCCATGCTGCAGTGAACAGAATGAATATTGTGTCTGACTCCATCATGATCTTGGAGGACTGCATCCATACATCTCTGCAATGACTCAAATCACTTATTAATAAAGTCATCTGAAACGACAAAGAAAGCATTCCTGCAGGACTCCCAGAGTTCATCAAGACTCTTTGGATTCATCTTCAGTGCCTCCTCCATTTTACCCCAGACAATGCTCAATAGTGTTCATATCTGGTGATTGGGCTGTTTAATCCTGGAGCACCTTGCCTTCTTTGCTTTCAGGAACTTTAATGTGAAGGCTTAAGTATGAGAAGGAGCGCTATCCTGCTGAAGAGTTTGCCCTCTCCTGTGTTTACTTTTTGTTTACTTTTTATTGAAAGTAATGTAAATGGCTGTGTTATTTTGGCGTTTTACTTTTTAAAAGTAATGTATTAAAATCTTAAAACGAGACAAAATGGTGGGCCTTTCGACTCGTTTTAAGATATAAATATAATATATTACTTTTGAAAGTAAAATATACCCATGAATGCATATCTGTGATCACGATTGAATTAATTTTGAAAGACTTTTTTTTGTAGAAACCATTTATGAGTTTCACATATAGCTGCATGTAGTTTGTAGCAATTCTGAGCAAAGTACAGAGTGAAGAACAACAAAACTGCAAAGTCATGGTTTTATGAATTATGATCGTCTGCTCAAATTTTGCCTATACGCTCTCACTGCACAGTGCACACACACACACACACACGCGCGCGCGCTGAAAACCAGGAAGTGTTTGCTATTCGAGAGAAACGAAACGAAACTTATTTCTCTGCCACTCGAGTTGTTGCTTTGAGATCCACACTCTTTAGTTTGATTAAAGCTGTACGGAGGAAATATTTGACTTTTTTTCAACAATATCATTTTGCTAACATTTAAAAAGATTATTTAAATATCAGTGTAACTATTTTTTTAATAATCCTGCAGTCTTCACGTTATATCTTAATAAGTGGCGCTTCGATTCTTTTACGTTGACACACAAAACTTAAGCATTTGGTAGACTTTTAGATGTGCTCTTTATAAATGATTTACATGTGGATTCATATTTCATTAATTATTTTCTTCTGGCAGAGCAGTTTCTATCTGCGGAGAAATGTCTGAATCATCCTCGAGTCAGTATGTGGATCAGTTCAGCTGTCCAGTGTGTTTGGATCCGCTGAAGGAGCCGGTGACGATTCCCTGTGGACACAGTTACTGTATGAGCTGTATTACTGACTGCTGGAGCCTGAAGGAGCAGGGGCCGCCGTACCGCTGTCCCCAATGCAGAGAGAGCTTCAGTCAGAGACCTCTACTGAAGAAGAACACTCTGATAGCTGAGATGATGGAGACGCTGCAGAAGACGGCCCTACAGACGCCTGCTGCTGCTGCTGCTGCTGTGGACTGTGATGTTTGCACTACAGAGAAGAACAGAGCTGTAAAGTCCTGTCTGCAGTGCTTGGCCTCCTTCTGCCAAACTCACCTGCAGCTTCACTATGAGTCTCCTGCGTTTATGAAGCACAAACTAGTGGACGCCTCCAGACACATTCAGGAGAACATCTGCCCCAGTCATGGGAGACCGCTGGAGATTTACTGTCAGGATGATCATCAGTGCATTTGTTGCATGTGCACCGATAATCACAAAGGACACAAAGTGGTGTATGTGGATACAGAATGGACTAGTAAAAAGGTAATGCAGCAAATAATAAAAATTTTCACAAATTTAGCATTTTTAGTGTATCACATATATTTATAAGACTCATCATTGTAAATCACCATGTGATGATGCACTTTACTAGACAGAAAAAGAGTTTTTGTATGTTAATGTTTTCAGAAAGTGTTAGAAGAGATGAAGCTGACGTGTCTAAAGCTGATCCAGGAACGAGAGAAAGGTCAACAGGAACTTAGTGAAGCTGCAAAACTTCTTAAGGTATGTGTCTTTCTGTATTCTTTTATTTAAAAATAACATCTGTTTAAAAGGTATAACTATCTGTAAAGGGAGGTAGTGACCAGTGGGATTTAATGCTCTAAATAATGCAGAAAAGAAGTTCTATAAGGCCCTGTTTACACTGCCAGTCTAATGTGACCCAATTACGATTTTTTGCTCTTATGTGACACAGATCAGATCTGTTTTATGACCGTGTAAACGCGGAAAAAAACGCATGCATTCGGATTTTCAGAGATGGGTTTCAGCCAGGCCTCCATCATATGTGGAAATAAATCAGATATAAATTGGATGTGACAATGCGACTGTCATGTAAACAGGTAGGCATTCTGTTTTGTATGTCATTAAACTTGCGTCAATTCTGTACTTCTCTGCGGTTTAATGACGTAGAAGGATGAGTGTGTCTGGAGACGCTGATGTGGTAATCAACTACAGAGGAAACATGGAGGAGGAAAGTGGTCAGTCGGTGCCATAGATGCAAGCTACGATGGCATTGCATTTAATTGGCAACAGTCTAAATACAATGGCCAACTTGTTTGTTAGGGCCCTATCATACACCCAACGCAATAAGGCGCAAGACGTGTTTCCGCAACGGGTTGCCATTTTCAGACCAACGCAACCTTAATTTTCAAATTTTCCGCCCCATTATTTAAATAGCAAATCCATTTGTGCCACTTTGTGGTCTAACGGATGTTCTGGTCTAGAAAAGAGGTGCGTTAAGGCACAGTTTTGGTGCGTTGCTATTTTGAGGAACTAAAATAGACTGTGCAATAGACTTGCTTTCAGCACAGAGCACGTCAGTTTTGTGCCTCGCTTACACATTGCTTAAAATATGCAGGATGTACAGCGATACACTAATATCTTTACAAATGAAAAATAACTAAAGGATGAAAATGTTACAATAATTATTACTTTCTATATAAATATAAAAACCACCGTGTAGATGCGAATATTTTGTTCTTGGTTCTGACGCGTTTGTTGTTTAAACGGGTCAATAAAAAGGTGAAACGTCCATACCTTTACAAAAAAGGTTGGATATTCCCAATCCATTTATTGTCCATTTTGTCAAAATTAAAAAAAGTAAACATCAAAACAAACATAAACCCGTTCTGACAGCCATGCCGGTCAAAAAGTTTGTTTGACCTTCTACACATCTCTCAGCTTGTCGTGAGGAGAGCATAAATACCTTATACACCCTCTAGTGGTGCGAAAGAAAATTGCAACTCATAAATGGCTCCAACACACCACCCTCATGGAGATGGGTCTGGCTGCAGACCTGGTGCAGTGCCATCTGGGCTGCATCCAATGCTTTTTAATGGGCTCACCTATCCCCACCCCTAACCCTACCCGTCACAGTGACGTCACTAGCTCCATTTGAGTGCATTGTGTCTGACATTGCATCGCTGAGTGATGCAGTCTCAGCTTGCATCATAAAGGCTGCATCCAGATACCATTGCCCTCATGCCTTCTTCATGTTAGGTTATTTTTTCAGCTCATTCACTACAACTTGCTTGTGTATAATATTGTTATTATTATCGTTAGTCTTATTTATTATATGCATGTTTATATTTGTTTTCTTAAAAACAAGCTAAGGTTTGTCCACCTGTCAGGTTTTGGACGTGTGATTGGATATAACTTGAGCACACTTCGTTATTATTGTTCATTTATTAGTTTGCTGGAAATTAGAACTGAATTTAGAAATAGTTTTGAAACAATCTTTGCGTTTAACAAACTAAATTAAT